ACAATACGTACATCAAATGAATTAAGTTTAGTACCGAGTGTATTATCTCCTTAATAGCCCCGGCATCATTCATCTGCTTACCTCGGTCGGGTAAACTTGGAAACTTAGACCGTTTCCCGATTACGTCTCGATCTTGATAAGTTCACTATACAAATCGCGAAGTGACCATTTGCATAATTTTGCGACAAGGAGCTGTCGTATTTATCATAGTTCAGATAAGGGTTAGAATCGAATCGGACGGTCAGACAGACAACAGAGTGATCCTGTCAGCCCAAAGTTTTCCTTAGGAGAACTCTGAAAACCCGTAAATGAGCTATGATACCAATAATAAAGAATTTCTACACTGACATGGACCAATAGCGAAAATAAATACAAAAACCATATAGGGGAAGGAGGGCAAGACTGGAAGGCTAACGTTTGTAATTCAATTTGAGAGTTTGAGAATCAAGGCATTTCACGTTAATTTTAAGCTTCTTTTTTATTTGAAAAACCATAATTGGTTATCGGTGTTTCATAATTTAGTGTAATTGAGAATCATAAAAAATATAAATACATCGGAAAAAGGCAGATCTCCCCGTCTTGCCCCCAAACTCGGATAAGATGGGATACCATTAGACACGAGATGGGATTTGCCCATGTAAACGTCGTGTCTTTATTTTCGTCGTATATACCAACACAGCTACAGTGCACCCATTTACAGCATACAAAGCAAATTGCCTAAGCTTCACTTGGCTCCAATTAACAACCTCCACAATACATAAATAATATTTTTTTCCATTTCACTATCGCTAGTGCTACTCTCTATTAATCGGTAAACCTTTAACGCTTTTTTTCTTGTTATTAACCGCAGTTTTCTTAAGTTTTTTTACCCTTTATCCCATCTTGCCCTTTCGTGCCATATTGAATCCAAATGTTAATCAATAAAAAACAACTTTCACAAACAAAAGTAAACAAGTTTACCTGCTAGCATCGTTTCAGACCAATATAAATAACTTTATGAAATTTCAATATACACAGAGTAAAGACTATACAACTGAATATTTTTATTTTATAGCTAAATAACGACGCGTTATTTTCCAATGACTTTTCTAATTAATAACTGCCTTGTCGGTGCTTCATCATTGCAAAAAGATTGGTTTATTGGATTCCAATTGCTGGGGCGTAACTCGTCTTGCCCGTTACCCTGTCTTGCCCACTTTTCCCTACATGTCTAAAATTGTAAAAATCAATATATTATAAAAAAATTATAGCTAGTCACCGCCTGAAGTATGCGGGCGATGAAACGGAAGAGGGCTCGATTGACAAGACGCACATGAGGTATTTAAGGACAGATAAATCTCAGGATAATATGTTAGAATCTATCTTAATCAATGTAATGGCAGTATTTATAATGATATATTTCTCTGTTTCCTAATTAGGAATTAAACATAAATAAATTAGTATTTGAAAGTGTTGATTAAATTTCATTAAGTACGATACAGTTATAAGCAAATTACGATTTCTTAATAAAAAACCAAAAAAATATTTTCATTATCTCTCTTATAGTACAAAATTAATCGATATGTTCTTCTTCTTCATTACTAGAGATGTCTTCAATTTCCATATCCTCCTCAGAATCTGACTCATTTCCTAGATTTATGATTAACTCGTCTATCACATTGTCAATCCTCATGTTGTTGTTCCAATATTTGTAAGGTTTCAATTTTTTGTAAGTGGTGACATTTTTTACTTGTCGTGTAAAATAATCTTAGGATATTTTATCTCATGTATGTTACGAACAAAGTGACACAGATAACCGAATCGTGTAACCGTCGCGGCGGTCGACGGCAGACTGAGTCAGCTTGACGTTCATTTACCTCCCCCCTCCTGCCGATCACATACCTCAAGTAGTGACTATTATAGCACTTCCGTTCACACTATAGAAAATATCTCGCGAAATGATAAACTGTCAGAAATTGTGATTTGTAATATATTATAAATTGACACATCGCTTGTTGATAGATTATCTATTTATCATAGTCAAACCGTCGTCACGTCGAATTATATTGTAAAGTAGCATGCACCAGAAAACACTATGTGCGCTATTAGTTAAATATCAGGTGCCCCGCACCTCCATATATGGCATTCAAATAGTCGTCGAAGAGAATGTAAGCAAACAGTAAATAACTTTACACACTAAACAGTAAGTAATGAAATTATTTCATTTAGAATATAAATATGTAAACAAAGAAAAACAGTTTATGTATAATATTTAATGACGATAGCATTATAGTATTATTACAATAAGAAGTCTTAGACAGAGAGCATCAAGTACCAAAAATGAGCGAAGAAACAACCAATCAAATACAACGATCCATAGATTGCAATCCAACGCTTTGTTTTCTATAGATTATTATTTAAAAACAATAATCAAATTCCGAGCAGTATGTTACGTATTTGAGCTCGCGACTTAGACTATAATCTAGCTGCTTTTACATTTTTATTGTGACATATAATTGACGTCATGGGCTTTTGAAATTAAGAAAACACTTCCCCGTCACGTTGGTACAGTAATTCCAATTACTAATTAAATCAGATTCATTCAAAAGTACCGCGTTTATCCTTATGAGGTCATATTGGCTAATCATGAGACTACACTTTAGTGACTGACATCAAGTAATAAGAAAGTATTCAAACAAAACCGGTCAACTGCTGTTCGGAATGGTGCACGAAGGATTCCGTATAGGAAACGAGCAATAAATATCACGTTTATTGTATGAAAGCCCTCTTAAATGTACATTTTATTATGTTTTTTTTTTAGTATTTGTTGTTATAATGGCAATACAAATACTCTTATGTGAAAATTTTAACTATTAAGAATCATCAGATACAGCTTGGTGACAGATGGACAGCCAGACAGACGGATGGACAGCTCAGTCTTAGTAAAAGTGTCCCAGTTTTATCTCAAGCTCCTCCGTGTGTCGAAAGGCACATTAAACCGTTGCTCTTGGCTGCATCTACAGCCATCAACACCCACCAAAACGCATTGGGCCAGCGTGGTGGTTCACGTGGCCCATTCTCCCTAGTCAATTTATTAAATTCTATTCTGAATGCCTGAGCACCGCAATGGGAACATTAATGTTGATGATAAGGCTCAGTACTTATAGATATCATAGAATTTACCACGAAAACAAACATTACCAAACTTCAGTTTATTTAAATGACTTGACTAAAATCTTCATATGACTTTTTAACGTTTTATTCGGTTCCGCATCTCAAAAGGGCCAAACTCTATATCCAATTCCTACCCGACAAAAGCGATATTAAAATATCAATAATATATTTAAAAGCATATCTGACTTTTGGGGGTATATTAAAAAAAAAAATCACAAATGCGGTTTATTATGTTAGTCTTAAATACATCATCATCACCCTATTAATGTTTCCGCTGATACTGCTTTCCCTGTAGATAAAATTAAATAGAGACCACCAGAACCACGCGTGCCTAATCTGGATTGATGTATATTAACGACTGGATATATACATAACGGCTAAACATGCGCACCAAAGCACGAAGGAGTTCGAAATAATAAATTTTTGTTCACCCATCCTACGCATTGCGAAAGTTGCTTAACTTCATACGCATCCGCAGATCGAACACGCTAACCACTACACCATCTAGCTCCTCAAATAATTACATTTTTTATAATATCAAGATATAACTTTAAATTAATTAAAGGAAATAATTCTTGAAAACCATTGACTTAAAAAAGGTTTTCCTGGAATGTATATGAGATTCGAATCTATAAGAGATGACAAGAAAACCTCTTAGAAGTATATGGTATATTTCTGCTGTACGTGCAAATATCCAAACCACATTTAACCGGTTTTTTGTACTGTTTGCGAATCCTTATCAACTTTTATATTTACTGAAAAAACAATAACAATCAGAAAGGTAGTTTTAACCAAAAAAAACATACTCTATTGATAAATTTAATTATTACTCATATTTCACTAGAAACAGATTCTTATAATAATTCTTATAAAGAATTTCGGTGGTATAAGACGATTACAAGATTTCATAGTGTGTAATATTACAGTAGATTATTTCTTACGTACTGACTATGAACTGATTGACTGATGTGTGACTTTTTTTAATTAATAGCGACTTCAAAAGTCTTCAAGCTATACTTAAATACTAGGAAAAAAGATGTAAAAAATACCGACGTAAATGTTACCACCGACTTTTTTTTTCAATTATTAAGATATACTTATATTAACACGGCACTGTATATATAAAAATCACAGGAATAAAAAAAATACTTTATTAAACTTAGCCTTATTAATGAAAATCTTATTTTTTTAAATGAATAGTCTCAAAATGATAAAATGATTAGTTTTTCATCTTGAATTAATTAATTAACATTTACCTGGAAATTTACTCATATGGCTTTACATCACACCGCCCAATAACAGCGTCACCAATCGAACATCTGGCTTGGCTTTCGCCAGCTTTTACATTCTACATTATTACACTAAATACTAAGTTATTGTAGACCTCTTTAAAAGTATGTTTAATTAACATGTTACATATATACTTTGATTATCCATCCATTTTCATTGGCCCATCCTCCTTAACCATCCATAAGGAAGGCCTGAGCCCCTGTAGTGGGGACGTAAAAGGGCTGATGATGATGATGATGATATATACTTTGATTTATAAATTATAATAAAATAAAAAAAATCGGGACATCCTAATTTCATAACTTCCTCTCCAAATTATTTTTATAATGAAATGACAAACTGTTAATATTTAAATGTATAAAAATCGATTTGAAAGTCACGCCGAATCCGGTGAATTATAAAAACACGTAGTTGTAAAACCGTACCGTACCGTACCGTACCGTAGAACCTCTTTGTATACTTTGAAGTCGGTTAATTATACTAACCTATTTACACTATGGTAACGTGAACTGGCCGCAGGTTATTATTTAAAAAACAATCACCCATCGAAACTAGTCAGTGGAGGTGCGACAATCGAAGAAGCCACAACAAGATCTCACAATGAAGCAGTTTATCTACAGTGAGTTGTTATCTTATTTAACCGGTATTTTTGTTAACAAACAACATAATCATTTGACCTATTTACGTAAAGTTTTAGGGTGACTTTGATAAGTTTTTTTTTTTCATAAAGTAGGTAACGTTTAAATTTGTAATGTTTATAAAACCATATGAAACTTTCTAATTAATTATTGTCGTTATCGTTTCTATTTTTCTATAATTACAGTTTCTATGACATTTCAATAATAAAAATAAATAAAATAGAATCATTTTCAGTAGATTTTAATGGAAAATTACTATTATACCACACGATATTGTTATATATCTACCCAACATACACTTTATAAATTATACATACTTTTTTGAAGATAATTAAACAAATGTAATAAATAAGGTTCTTCCCTATATAACAACAAATGTGATTTGTGATTATATTTAGCAGCTTCGCAAGTAACAAAAACTCGATTTGAATATTATCGATGACTGAACGTGTCTCGGCAGCCGGTACTTAGGGTTGCAAGACGTAATGTATACAATATTAATTAATTAATATTGTAAAATGAAAAGGTTTGATTGTTTATTTATTTGCGTTTAATAGGTTCCGAAAAGGCTTGACTGATTTAAAAAACAATACCATTAGACTACATTATACGTTATATTACTACATTATATCTGCTAAATAGATATGTTAGAATAATATCAAAAACATTATAAGCGTTATGGCGCAGCCTATTATTTAAACAATATATTCAAATAAAAAATAATATAGTTAACGCCAAAATACTGAGATAATCTACCTTATCTTTTATTACCGTCATGATTGGTCAAAGCGAATATTGCCTATAGAGTTTGATTTAAGTTTTTATTATCTATCTGATAAATATTTTTTTTCTACTTTTAGTAGTATTTATCGATAACTTTTAAAATAGATCTCGAATATTACTATCAGCATGGTCTGTCAGGTACAAAAAGCGGTTACTTTTCAAATATCGAATCGTTTCGCATAGATGATAATGGTTGTTTTTGTAAGATTTTTGTATATCTAAATGGTAACGGTTGGAATAGTTGTGTCAAAACTAACTGAAATAATATATTAAAAACTAAAGATTTGGAGATATATCATTTTAACCATTTTTTTACTCTTTAATTATATACATTAATGTAAAATGATTTTATTTTTATTTTTGTATTCTACGAAGTTTTTGTGATTGTTTGAATAATGCTTTAATTGTGAAAATAAATTGGCAACCCTAGATCCGTATCAAGTTTACCGACAAGGTTCGCTAGCAACAGGCGCTGCTCAATGTGGTTACATCTCACTTGTAATATCTTTTAAAGCTCCAAATATCTGTTAAATAATATCTGTTAAATAAGAATCAAAGGCTATTTCATTTTAATACATTAAGAACTAAAATCTCAAATGTTAGTATTTCACGGATAATTCATACGATAATCGATGGCGCAGAATTTAATGAGTTCACTCTTTAATATGGTTAACTTGGCAAGGGCCGGTCATAGGATGGGTGACCAAAATTTATTATCTCGAGCTCCTCCGTGCTTATGAAAGTACGATATACAGGTAGTTTCGGGTTGCATCTGCAGTAGTTAATACGAATCCACATTGGGCCCACGTGGTATAGGTCATAGTATCTCCCTTTTCGTTTTAATTCGATTCCATCCTTAAGGAAGGCCAGAGCCACATCAATGGGGATATAAATAGGCTAGTAATGATAGATTTCTTTTATTAGTTAAGTAAGAAATTGCTACTTTCAATTATGAGTTAAAATATTCAAATAATAAAGGTCAAAACTAATGTATCTGAATTGTACCTATCAATCCGCACTAGTGGTGGGTTATGAGTTATATTTGATCAGTTTTTTTGATTCGATTTTACCCATACGTAAGACCCACGTCTGGGCTGAGAATAATAATGAAAATTATGATGGGTAGTTTAATATGGAATTTTCCAAAATATTAAAAAACGTTAGCGTTTTTATGAAAGTTAAATGAGAAAGAAAAAGTCTGAAGATATTTTTTTGTACCTGAAATCGTATTTATTATGACCAATATGTTATAATTTAACAATATGCAAATTCCAAATAATTTTTCGACATACGATTCTACTGGTAAACCTGTTTAGTACTTTTTTAGTTTACCCACTATACGAAGCTTTTATTTTTATCTGAACATTATTTATGACACGTTGCGCAGATTACTGAATCCGATATTTTAGAATGTTACTAAGCTGTTGTGTTCTAATACGTAACGTTCAAATTTCAAAGTAAAATTCACAAGAGAATGGACGCACAACTCTCATAGAACCTATCGAAATTTAAAAACTGACAGTTATTATTGTAATTCTTGTATCTGATACATTTTAAATTAACGATAGATGTATAGGTTAGGTTATTAATATATAGGAATCTTTAAAAACTTTTTTATTAAAAAAAACTTAATTAATTAACCAGAACAAGGAAATGGGATACGAAACCAATTCGTGTGACTGCTCCGACCAATTTATCTACACGAGGTTTAGCAAGATTGACGAGTTACCAAGCACTTGTATTCTCATCAATGATCAGGCAATTCACAGGCAGTGTGTTATAGAATTGTTTTGACGGGGTATGAAATGACTACCGAATTAACAGTGTCCATCGTCACGCTATTTAGATAGTTCACATCCGAGTTGTTGTCAAGTTGGAAGTTCTTGGAGTTTTAGTTTTATACAGACATTGACTGGAGCGTAGATTTCGTCAATGGAGATTTTTCGCACTTCATTCGTTTATATCCAATGTGCTTCGTACTAGTCTATGACTGCTTCCATTTTGATAACCTTAATCTAGGTATAATTTCGCTTGTATAACTTTTTAAAGGAGTTCCTCGTATACTAAATCTCCCTCATCATTAAATCAGCCATTATCTGGTCTTCCGTAGTTTAAATCCAAATTGCCTCATTCTCAACTCATTTCCTCAACTCAAGTCATTCTCATCCTTTTATGCAACCTTGCGATGAAGTTTCCTTTCGCAACCGTATTATTTACAATACGCATGTTGTAACTTTACGTGGCTTTTGACATCTCCTCATACATATTTTTTTCTTCTCCATCTGGGTGCATCGATGTCCGAGCGTAATCAGATATGACTTTCTACAAATATCGTTTTGATATTCTGAGGACTTACACTACCCCGGCTGACGCTTTTCTCATTATAACTATGTTGTTAACAAGCGACTCATAGACCATAAACTTGACACCACCTAGGGTCTGTTGGTCTCCTTCTCGTTAATATAGCGTTGCCGGAATCGAGGATTATCCAGTCCTCGCTATCTATCTGGACTGCAAATAACCCAATAATGCCCAGCTTAACTTGCTAATAGTTTCTTGCAACTCTTCTATTATTATCATTAGTCCTCATTGTGTCCGTGTAATATAATTGCTAATTGCTGAGTAACCTTAGTTGGTTTATATAAGCACCGTGATTTGGGTTCTTTCCCACAAGATGTTGAATCGATCTTCATATGGGGAGAACCCACATGAAGGTTCTCTGCAGCGAGTTTTATTAGGTTGGCCAACTACACTGACCTCCTAGTGCTACTTATGCCTCAAATCAAGATGTTGAAAAATCCTGATTTGAGGCTTAAGGAGCATTTCTCATGTGTTAATACAAAATGCCAGCATACATATTTTTCGTAGAAACAATGTATTACGTATGATAGCTTAATAATTTCTAAACGTAATCTTCGAATACTTACAGATATTTTAAAATATAATGTTCATGCGGAACCTTTTTCATGAGATTCCGTCTCGTTTACGGCCGGTTTTTTTTTTCAATCCACAAAGAAAATCTGGACGGCGCAGCGGCGTCTGTCGTTATTTGCAATACTAATGCCTCTTGTCCATTTTGACGAATTTGTGTAGCTAGCTTCTAGCGTCGTCCTATAAACATTAATGACAAAGCACGTTATAACTTTTCATTTTACAATAAAAGAACAAGAATAAAACTATAAGTACGATATGCGTGTGTACCTTCACTTCGCAAAAAAAGAATTCAAGAATAATACCTAAGTACCGTCAAAGCAACGCTAAAAGCCTGCTATCTTTTTCAATTTATAGTATTTAAGTCTGTCACAGTAAACAAGAGCCCTAAATAGTGTAAAGCAGTATAAATGAGAATAAACCTAATTTCGTATACTACCTTCTTGATAAAAATATCATATGACCTCTGATGTAATTTGTGTAGATAAGAATATTTAGAAACAATTATAAATTAACTCACATGAGTAATCAATATGTACATAATTGCTTGTCCTATCGGCGGGCTTGTTTGCCAGTAATTTCTTTATCATTGTTTTTACATGCTTTTATTACACTGATACAAAAATTTGTTTTGTATTTATGTTGATATTGATAATTATGTCAAAGTTGAAATCGCTTGGTAACTTATTTCATAATGAAGTTTTAATGACCTATTTTATTTTATAAGATACTTTGAATGATTACAATAAAATTAGGCTTGATTGCTAATTTGTTCTGAAAAATTCACTTGAAATATATTATACCATAACAATCTGCCAAGCTGATAAATCGACTGTGGGCAGACTAATCAAGATTACTTTGTCCAATTCCAGACCAATCCTGATTAGTCTGCTGAGAGTCGATTTGCGTGTAATTTTTATTTCGCAACTTGTGTCTTCATGTGTGAAACGTAATAATTAATATATAATAAAAATAACTCACTATAAATAATAACTTAAAATATGTAAATAAACATTCCTTTTTATTCACAGTACTGGCCGTGGTTGCCATGGCGATGGCAGATGAGACGAGCGTACAAAAACTGCTCGCTGATGCGACCAATCATTTCACCGCTAAAATGTTCGCTGTGAGTAAAATATACCTACTGTTTAAGTAGGTAGATTTAATAAAATAATTATTAGATGACGAATCACCAGATTACCAGTCAACCGGAAAGTTATGGATTAATGTATCTATTCCATAACTTTCCGGTTGACTGGTAGAGAATGCCTACTGGCATTAAGTCCGCCATTTGTACGTTTTATTTGTGCAAAGAAGTTTGAATAAATAAATAAAATATAACATTACATAGTTGTTATACTATTGTATTCTCCATAAGTGACATATTTATCAAAACATAAAATCAATTATTCAATTCCATTATTACACTATCAATATCACTGGACCGTGATTCTTTATTTTTCAAAGAATCATCATCAGATTCATCCCGCATATTGAAAATAATATCAACGAGTGTATCTCGTTTGATTGTCTTGTTTGCAGTCATCATCATCATCATCAATCATCATCAGCCCTTTTCACGTCCCCACTGCAGGGGCTCAGGCCTTATGGATGGTTAAGGAGGATGGGCCATGACCCTCCACGCTGGCCCAATGCGGATTGGAAGGTATTAACGACTGCAAAATGCGGTCGGGACCAACGACTTAACGTGCCTTCCGAAACACAAAGTAGCTCGAGATAATATTTTTTTTGTCACCCATCCCGAGACCGACCCTTGCGAAAGTTGCTTAACAACAACGATCGCGGGCCGCGGCGCTTATCCTCTACGCCACCGATCTACTTATGTTTGCAGTATTCGTATGATCTTACACGTATTATCTAAAGACTAAATCATTGTTTGGATGTTTGAAACTCCACGGCGTAATTGTCTTATTTTAAAATATATTGCAATAGCCTTTGACAATTGAAAGATATTCAGGAACTTCACGCTATAACTACTTGACATGTGATAGCGATTGTAATCATGACGTTTTTTGGAAAAATATTGAATGAACAATATCTAGTTAGTTAATTTAACGATTCATCAAGGTTGTATAAGGCAAGCGTTAGGCACAAATATTACTTTAAGTTACTTTTGATATAATGTTTAATGATCATACAAATAAATCATCAACAATTCCGAAATCATGACAACCGATTGCAATAACAATACATAATTCCATAAATCGTTATCACATTAGCTATACCTTGAAAGGAATTGCGATAGATCTTGAATTCAGGCCACTAGAATAATTAATTTCAACAGAAACTTGTTAACAATGTGCCTCAAACATTATAAACTCATCCTTATAATTTGTAGATATTAATTTATTTTATCACATACAATATAAAATATATTGAGATTCTGTGAAAGCATTTTAAATAACGTTGTTACAGCTCTAAAAATAATATTATTTATTTATTTTTAGAGCTGGAGAGACTGTTGTCGTGACAAAATTGACCTTCGAGAGATTTCAAAGTCAGCAAATAAGCAACTTGTCTGTACACACTTCATAGTCAACAGGAAAACAGCTATATTTTCCTTAAACGCTGTCGTTGAGCAACCAATTTTTGTACACACAGAAACATATTTGATAACCTCAAATAGACAATGTTTTCCGATCGATATTTGCACATTACATATTATAGTTTAAAATAAAATGATTAATTTTATACTATTTTGTATATTAAGACGCGCTGTCAACTGTACCTACTACATCCCGTGCTCTTTGTTATAAGTTTTACAGATTTTTTAGTTCATATTCTTATGTTTGTATGACCAAAACTCAAAGCTATAGGCTATATACTTTGTTTTCATTAATTAATATGTTTCAATTTCTATAAAATAGCTATATAATTTTATTATTACCATTTCCAATTTATTTTATTTCCATCCATTACCGTACCTTTCTATTTCTTTCGTGAAGTACCAGAGGAGATTAATTATTAATCTGCTTATCACTTTTGTTTATAGGAAGTCGCAAAAGAGAATTCCGGCAAGAGCGTTGTAATGTCCGGTTTCTCAGCGATGTCACCTCTAGCTCAACTGGGCTTAGCCTCAGTTGGCATATCACATGACGAAATCCTCGAAGTCATCGGCCTACCTAATGATAACGCTGTGAGTATTGTTTCCCGTGTTTTAATTTACTGTATAAATAAAGAAATTTTTGGAAGAAATACGAAGTGATACCTCTAAATATTGTATATTGATCCAACACAGTTAAAATCAATCATTGCAAAAATAATTCAGCAGTTACAGAATTAAAATGAAAGCATTGTCATAGTATAAGGATACCGGTATATAGTTCGTAAAATAATCATTGAATTTGTAAAGTAATGATAATTTTAATTGATTTCAGACAAAAGAAGTATTTTCGTATGTAAGCCAAGACGTACGGTCGGTAAAAGGAGTAGAATTGAAGATAGCCAACAGAGTATTCCTTCCAGAAGGTGTTGCACTAAATGAGGAATTCGGTGTAGTTTCTAGGGACGTATTCCATTCAGACCTAAAACAAGTTGACTTCACTAAGAACATTGAAGCTGCTGCCACTATCAATACTTGGGTATGTTTTTAAACGTATAATGTTAAAACCTAAAATTTATTGATATACATAACTAATATTTTCTTCACTTTTATGAAAACTGTGACAAATATTTAAAAAAAAATGAGAATCCTGAATGTTCCAATATAACTGATTTTATTTATAGGTTGAAGATAACACTAATAAGCGCATCAAGGATTTGGTTAAACCTAGCTCTTTAGGACCTGACACAAAAGCTGTTCTCGTAAATGCCATCTATTTCAAGGTAAATTGAAAATAATTATGTTTAAATTTATAGCTTAATAAAATCTCTTGAGACTTATTTTCATACATTGTCTTTTAAAAACAGGGCAGCTGGAAGAACAAATTTAACCCTGAAGCTACACAAGACCGCGATTTCCATGTAACAAAAGACAAAACGATTCAAGTACCCACTATGTTCAAGAACGGTAACTTCAAATTTGGCTACAGTCAGGAATTAGATGCTAAGGTATTTTTGAGATTTATTTAAAATTTATTACCAACATGTGAAATTTAATTCTTATCTTATCAAAGAACCAATTTGATATAAACAATTCATAAATAAAAATTCCATATTTAAATTTACAGCTATTAGAAATTTTCTACGAAGGTGAAGAAGCATCTTTCTTGGTTGTACTCCCAAATGAAATCGATGGACTTAAAGCTCTTGAAGAGAAGTTGAAAGATCCCAGCGCTCTGGAGAAGGCCACAGCAATGATGTACAACTCCGATGTCGACGTGTATCTCCCTAAGTTCAAGATTGAAACCACAATTGACCTAAAATCTGTACTTTCAAATGTGAGTATTGTTTAAACCTAACAAAATTACGATTTCCTAAATAGTATACATATTTTTATTTAACTCTCACAATTCCTCCTGGTATATCATTAAACGAAGTACAGTCGTCGTCCTCTCTTCGTCGTAAATTATAAAGCTACCAAAATGGTTTTCATTTATTTAATCATAGCTTTCACCATTTTTCTCATCAAATTACGGAAATATTTATGAGTAAAGTACTTATATGTAATTTATTAAACGAAGACTTACTTTATTTCCAGGTTTAAATCATTATCTGACCAAAATATCACAACATAAACCGAGTCAATTTGACATTATCTTCTATCATTGTCAGTTTGCTTTAGATAGTCAATGGATTAAATCAAACACTACTAAGTCATCATATTATAATAAGCCAGTTTTATCTTAATTGCCCAAACGATGCCTACAATTTTAAAGATTTATCTATTCTTATTTTCACGCCGTATCTAATACTTTAAAGATGCAGAAAATAATGTAATTTTTAATTACAGATTGGAATCAGTCACTTATTTGACCCTGCTAATGCCAGACTTGAAAAGCTTCTTAAAAACTATGACGACGGTTTATACGTTAGTGATGCTATCCAGAAGGCGTTCATCGAAGTAAATGAAGAAGGAGCCGAGGCAGCTGCAGCAAGCGGTAAGTGTGAAATTCTTTATCTTTACAATGAGATTAATCGCGATGTCATCTGCGGATGGTCTTAGTGAAAGTTTAATTCAACAGCGTACTGTTAATGACACATAATAAATACATAATTTTGATATTTTTGCATCAGCCAAATCCCAAGCTAAGTTCTTTGTCTAGAAAGAGCTCTTTCTAAAAATGGCTAAATGCTATTATTAGTTAGAAATGTTTTAATTTTGCCATTTTAACTTGTTGTTTTTAAATTCAATCTAACAATTGACTTCACTTTTTTCGAAACCCAAAAACATAATTTCATTGTGTATTATTCTTAATATATAAATATAATAATATATTAATTTCTTGTCCAACATATATCTCTTACTTTATCATATGAGTACTACAATAAAAAGAATTGTGGGTACTTTGTTTAATCTTTGTGATTCCGTTCTGATTTTTTTAAATTTATTTGTGTTGCTAGACATATACCTATTATTCTTATTATTGTACGTTATTATTTTTTGAGTCATATATTTATTAAAATCGTATATGACAAATAAAATATCTAGCAAGTTTAAAGTGGTCTCCTTCTTTGCTTTTTTAATCCAACATAACAATTATCTTCTATAAAAATCGAAATATTGAAGTGACTTCGCCTGTTGATGAAAATTCATATTGTTATAATCCGTTGTATATACACTTGACTCATTAGGGTACAATACCTATATGATACTAAACTAGTCAGTTTAGCTTCTCTTTTGCGATTATACAAACGACTGTTCGATGAATCGAATATAAACAAAGATTCATAAAGAAAGACTGATGTTTTAACATTGTCCTATATTCTGGTATCGCAGAATCTATAGAAATAGTTAATATGTATACATATAGCATAGAAATTCAAAGAAATAAGACCCCTATTACTTTTTGAAGCAGATGTAATTTGATTGAACCTTGCTTTGGCAGCGTTGCGCTTGAATTCGATGCTATTTTTATAATAAAATGCTTAATGTAAGTTTTTTGACGTTGACATTTACCGTCGATCGCGAGCGCGTTTAGATTTTAGTGTAGACATCGATACATCACCCCTAGCGGCAACTGTCAATAAGTAGAAATCTTCATACAAATTCTTAACGCACTCACTAGTGAACGCGAACGTAAAACTTATACTACTCAGAGTGATAAGTGTAAGTTTTACGTTAACGAATTCACTAGTGAGTGCGTTAAGAATTTGTATGGAGAATTGTAGTTCTTAGTAGTTACCGCTAGGGGCGCTATACCGAATTCCATACTCTGAATAGCGTGGATGAAACTACATGTGTCTGTCCTATATGTCATGGTTCTGCCACCTCCACCGTTATTTTTAAATAATAATTTTGACTTTGATTCGTATCCTTGTTTTGTGAAGAGTAACACCATATGAAATCCTGATTCTTATCATGAAAATACAAAAGAATATGTTTCAAAACAAAAAGCAAAATGTTTTTAAATTAAGAAGAAGCTTTTAAATTAGATGCGCTATATCATATTTTGAATTTCTACACAAGCTGCATACTGATTGGTGTAAAACTAATTGGTTATATCGTCGTAAATGTAACGCGTATAATCAATTATTTCACCTGCAGACGATTACTTTCAAATCCGAACCCGGATTCGAATTCAAACAGGTGTCCAAATTTACTTCGAAAGCGAATCAGCTTAACTAATACTAGTGTGGAAATTCTATTGATTTCATTTTTTATATAAATACAAAACAAGATTGACTGATTCATACGTGTCTCATATATTCTATACCTGTATCATTTCGAAAGTCACTTCACTTATGCCGTTTACTTATAACGTTTTGTCAATACCGATTCGAGGTAAAGCGGGCGTCGTTTTCGAATTGAATACGGACACTTGAGTGAATTCTAATTCGGATTTTTACAGAATCACTCTGTTGTAAGGGATCCGAAACGTCTAAAATAAAATACCTATATAAACGCATTTCATCCGGGTAGTTAATTTTATTTATATGTGTAGTGCGCGTGAAAATATAAGAAACCTTGTTTGATCATATTTCTTTTGAAATATGTACTTTATTCATGACATGTAAAAAGGCTTCTTTTATTTTAAAAGAGCGCTATTAATATGTTTATAAACCTTTTTTGTAACTTTGATGTTATACAAAATTAGTATATATAATAACAGTTAACGAAATTGCTTTCTTATGTTTGAGTATTTATAGGTATAATAACATAAATATAAGATATTGGAAACTTCTTTATTAGACTATTTTACTTACCGAAAAAGAGTAAATTCTTAATAATGTTTTATCGTTTCCAGTTTACGTAACATCCTTCAGAAGCGGACGTAGAATAAGACGATTCACAGCAAATATACCTTTCTTCTATGCCCTTAAATTGAAAAAGACATTATTATTCTGCGGTACTTTTTTAAAGTAATAATTTTACAAATGTAAAAACAAATATTATCAACAACAACAATTATTGACATCAAATAATTATTATAAACATAAAACGATCGGAGAAATAATATATTAACATTCTAATCCTTAGCACATAAACTCTTAATTCTACTGAATGGTTAACGCCGAAATTATACTAAGCTCACGCTATGTGGCGCTACGAGCGGGTTAGTATAGAGTTCTAGACGACATTTTAATAGGTATAACATAAAATATAACTAAAAAAATATTATTTATATAAAAAGTGAAAATCTAAAACAAAATTTAATTTTAAAAATTCCTACGTCACTTCTGTTATGGCGTCACTCGCTATATATGCTTAGGGTGTATTTACTCGTATCTAAGTTTTGTTGTGAGTAGTGGGGCGTGTCGTTACGCACTGTTTGCGGTCACGTGACATTAAGAATAAAATATTTGTTTTTTTATAATTAATTTACGTCAGCAATATTATAAATTAAAAGAGCATAAAAGTGTGATGTTATGACTACCAGAAAAAAAAGTATTTAATTTCGTTTACTGTCTACACCCCTGTTGGTTTCATACTTTGGCCCGATACTCAAGACGGGACTAATCAATCTCTACTATAGTCTGTCACGGATTAAATATAATTCCTGCTTAAAGACATATCTGGATTTGTTAAATGAACAAAAGAAATATTTAAAATAACTGTAATATGTATTGATTTTTAAAGATAATCTTTTTAATATTATCATATACAAACAAAGAGCGGGTACAACTAAATAAATTTCATTATTTATAATACCATTAAAAATGAGAAGTAAGAACGGTAAAAAAATAGAACAATTATTTTAACTCAAAATACTCTTATAAAACCAATAAATATTGGCTACTCCGCACGAGTGGCATCTACCCGCCTTATATAGACAACGCCAGGGTTGCCGCTGTTGTCATATAACAATAGTACATTATATTTGACGTATGTGATTCTCTAACGTATCTTTACTAATAATAAAAAGAGAAAGTATTTGTTTCAAAATTACTGGACTGGACTTGAAAAACAAAACCACCTACGGGTAGCTACATCATACGCGGGTGACATAGGCTATAATTTATTGGCTAGTTTAATAAGTATCGCCTTTAAAAAACGTATTTGTTGAGAAAAAAAATACTTAAATATGTTTCTATCATTTCCAGTTTATTCAATAAAAAGAATCGGACTTATTGGACCAAAGCCTAATTTCATAGCAAATAGGCCATTCTTCTATGCATTACGACTAAACACAAAAGGTGTAACACTAGTTTGCGGTACTCTTAATACAAAACAATCTTAGGGTATAATAATTTATATGAGAAAATAAACGTGTCAGAAATTGTTTAATGAGTAGATTTTTTTTATTTGTTTATGTTTATAATGATATTGATGTCATCATTAACGATAATTATATTTGATTCGTTATTTATTTTATGACTCAGCACATATACATAACGGTAATTGCTTATGTATTTAAGATCTCTATTGTTAATTATAAATAGAATAGGTATATTAGCTTATGTTTGAATCGAGGCCAAGTAATATAAGACTTGATAAATTTATATTAAAGAAAAATATCTTGAAATGTTAGTAACCACAGTACAGAAATTTGACTACTTTAGTATTTATTTTTAAGATTAATAACTAAATGTTGACTTTTTATATTTTTTTATTGCTTATATTTTTGTAATCTAATATATTTATTATAATTAAAAATATACGTTATGTTGAAAATTATATTATTGTTTATTTATTATTTATAATTATACTTTAGATTTTTCTGATCTAAAACTTCACAATTCAAGAAATAGTCCTAGAACATAATTTTTTTAGATACTCAAAGCAGTTATTCAAAATTTTGATGCAACCGATTTTGAAGTAAACTTCTTTCAAAACAAGCTGAAATAATTGGAGAATCACAGGCCTTCCCTTGATGATTTCAAATAGGTTTTTTTTTTACATTTTCAAATAATTTATTCTTTTGTAAAAACAGTATCAAGTAATGTCTGAATTTTTATCACATTTCCAATATATATTATTATATATCTAATCAAATCTATAAAAATTAAAAGTATCTATTTTATATTTAAAAACATATTATTTTCGAGCATGTAATTACTTAAAAGATAAGATATAGTATACCATTTATTCTGACTTCTTTAAATTATTTCCAGCATTTGTTGCCATAGTCGATAGCTTATCGATTTCGATGCCACGAACTTTTAATGCTGATAGACCTTTTTACTTCGAACTTAGACAGAAATCTTTAAAAATGTTCAACGGTGTTATCGTCCAACTATAAGCTTAATGTAAAATACGAAAGAATGGCATCACAATAATACCCATAATAATTTGTAAGTTCACATTTCGTTTCGTAAATTAACAATTTGCTAACATTTCCGTAGATCTTTATGTTTTTCTATAATAATATTTTAAATGTGAAAGCGTGTCTGTTTAACTGTCATTGAGAATGTCTTTATTATTGCAACACATACTCTACCACGGGGTCAAGTGCGGATTGTATAGTGTTAATGATTGCTTTTGCAGCTAGAACTAACAATTTTAACTAGCATGTAGGCTATTACCAGGTATTAGTTAGGTAGGTATGTATTATTTTTGGTAACGCGTTCTATAATCGATTTTCGCAGATGTTGCTTATCGCCTGCATAGCTAGTGCACTAATCAACATTAAAAAAAAACATTTGTTTTTCTTTGGGTATACAAACTATGCAAGGTTTCTATATATTAATACTTGTGATTGAATGCAATTTTTAATCAGACTAGTCATATCAAAGTGAAGCCATAGTTTGAGATCGTGCTAGCACTTTGGGTAAAGGCTGAAAATCAGCGCTTTGCTCCTTGAGCGAAGGAATCGTTGAGCTTTTACCCTTTTGCATTGTTGTGGCGCACACGTTAAAGCGGATTTTTTATTGTAATTTTTTTTTATTGTAATAGAATTTTATAATGCATGTGTGCTATTTTAATAATGCAAATAAATGAATTATCTATCTTTCTATATACAAATTTCAAAGTTTAATGCGTGAATTAGTATTTAATTTGTATTATATTTTCAAAATTCACATCTCAAATTCTCGGTGGAAATGGAACAGCAATATTAAAATGTAACAGAACATTTCCGGTAATGTAATCGTATATTATACCGATAAATAAATAAATCACTATACTCAAATCATAACGATAACAAAGTAAGTACAACATTAAGTGTCATTATTATTGAATGAGACTTATGTTTATTAGACAGTATAAATGAGTTATTATCACTTAAGAGCACGAATGTAATGTTTTATGCTGTTAGGCCATTTTACTTCTATTTAGTATCCAATTCTTGAAACTTGTATACGAACCTTTTGTATGTATCCCCAGTACCTACTTGGTATATGATAAAATTCTTTATGAAGGATATAGAAAATTAAGTTATTTCTCTTTTTAATATAAATATTAAATCAGTGTGAATCAATTTGTTTGCTTAAATGTATAAACATAAAACGATCGGAGAAATAATATCTTAACATTCTAATCCTTAGCACACAAACTCTTAATTCTACTGAATGGTTAACGCCGAAATTATACTAAGCTCACGCTATGTGGCGCTACGAGCGGGTTAGTATAGAGTTCTAGACGACATTTTAATAGGTATAACATAAAATATAACTAAAAAAATATTATTCATATAAAAAGTGAAAATCTAAAACAAAATTTAATTTTAAAAATTCCTACGTCACTTCTGTTATGGCGTCACTCGCTATATATGCTTAGGGTGTATTTACTCGTATCTAAGTTTTGTTGTGAGTAGTGGGGCGTGTCGTCACGCACTGTTTGCGGTCACGTGACATTAAGAATAAAATATTTGTTTTTTTATAATTAATTTACGTCAGCAATATTATAAATTAAAAGAGCATAAAAGTGTGATGTTATGACTACCAGAAAAAAAAGTATTTAATTTCGTTTACTGTCTACACCCCTGTTGGTTTCATACTTTTGCCCGATACTCAAGACGGGACTAATCAATCTCTACTATAGTCTGTCACGGATTAAATATAATTCCTGCTTAAAGACATATCTGGATTTGTTAAATGAACAAAAGAAATATTTAAAATAACTGTAATATGTATTGATTTTTAAAGATAATCTTTTTAATATTATCATATACAAACAAAGAGCGGGTACAACTAAATAAATTTCATTATTTATAATACCATTAAAAATGAGAAGTAAGAACGGTAAAAAAATAGAACAATTATTTTAACTCAAAATACTCTTATAAAACCAATAAATATTGGCTACTCCGCTCGAGTGGCATCTACCCGCCTTATATAGACAACGCCAGGGTTGCCGCTGTTGTCATATAAAAATACTACATTATATTCGACGTATGTGATTCTCTAACGTATCTTTACTAATAATAAAAAGAGGAATTATTTGTTTCAAAATTACTGGACTGGACTTGAAAAACAAAACCACCTACGGGTAACTACATCATACGCGGGTGACATAGGCTATAATTTATTGGCTAGTTTAATAAGTATTACCTTTAAAAAACGTATTTGTTGAGAAAAAAAATATTTTTCTATCATTTCCAGTTTATTCAATAAAAAGAATAGGACTCATTGGACCAAAGCCTAATTTCATAGCAAATAGGCCATTCTTCTATGCATTACGACTAAACACAAAAGGTGTAACACTAGTTTGCGGTACTCTCAATACAAAACAATCTTAGGGTATAATAATTTATATGAGAAAATAAACGTGTCAGAAATTGTTTAATGAGTAGATTTTTTTTTTATTTGTTTATGTTTATAATGATATTGATGTCATCATTAACGGTAATTATATTTGATTCGTTATTTATTTTATGACTCAGCACATATACATAACTGTAATTGCTTATGTAATTAAGATCTCTATTGTTAATTATAAATAGAATAGGTATATTAACTTATGTTTGAATCGAGGCCAAGTAATATAAGACTTGATAAATTTATCTTAAAGAAAAATATCTTGAAATGTTAGTAACCACAGTACAGAAATTTGACTACTTTAGTATTTATTTTTAAGATTAATAACTAAATGTTGACTTTTTATATTTTTTTATTGCTTATATTTTTGTAATCTAATATATTTATTATAATTAAAAATATACGTTATGTTGAAAATTATATTATTGTTTATTTATTATTATACTTTAGATTTTTCTGATCTAAAACTTCACAATTCAAGAAATAGTCCTAGAACATAATTTTTTTAGATACTCAAAGTAGTTATTCAAAATTTTGATGCAACCGATTTTGAAGTAAACTTCTTTCAAAACAAGCTGAAATAATTGGAGAATCACAGGCCTTCCCTTGATTTTTATTTACAATTTTAAGTAATTTCTTCTTATGTAAAAACAGTATCAATTAATGTCTGAATTTTAATCACATTTCTATTTTATATTAATATATATCTAATCAAATCTATAAAAATTAAAAAAGTATCTATTTTATATTTAAATATTTAAAATTACATGTAATTACTTAAAAGATAAGATATAGTTTACCATTTGTTCTGACTTCTTTCAATTATTTCCAGCATTTGTTGAGTCAATCGAAAGCTTATCGATTTCGATGCCACGAACTTTTAATGCTGATAGACCTTTTTACTTCGAACTTAGACAGAAATCTTTGAAAATGTTCAACGGTGTTATCGTCCAACTATAAGTTTAATGTAAAATACAGAAGACTGGCATCACAATAATGCTCGTAATAATTTGTAAGTTCACATTTCCTTTCGTATATTAACAATTTGCTTACATTTCCGTAGATCTTAATGTTTTTCTATAATAATATTTTAAATGTGAAAGCGTGTCTGTTTAACTGTCATTGAGAATGAAATTCCTATTGAGACCTTTTTATCACAAAAAAACTCGTAGTAATATAACCCTTTGGTCAGGCCAGTAAGCTCACGGTAATAGCTACTTAGATTATTGTATTTAATGTGTTGAGGCCTTTAAAAGTTTTACCATTACATCTGCCTATTAATACCCGCACTATTTGAATTCACAGCTTTATTATGGCACACATACTCTACTACGGGGTCTAGTGCGGATTGTATAGTGTTAATGATTGCTTTTGCAGCTAGAACTAACAATTTTAACTAGCATGTAGGATATTACCAGGTATTAGGTAGGTAGGTATGTAATATTTTTGGTAACGCGTTCTATAATCAATTTTTGTAGATGTTGCTTATCGCCTGCATATCCAGTGCAATAATCAACATTAAAAAAAAACGTTTGTCTGTCTTTGGGTATACAAACTATACAAGGTTTGTATATATACCTATATACAAATATCAAAGTTTAATCCCAACAAAAATCTGCCTAGTTTGGTGCACAAATTTTTCATTAAAAAATTATGTTATTTTTTATCACATTCGAGTAAATTATGCCATAATAATTGTCAATAAAATCTTACGATACAAAATTGTCACAAAAACGGATTATAATATACGTGAATTAGTATTTAATTTGTATTATATTTTCAAAATTCACATCTCAAATTGTCGGTGGAAATGGAACAGCAATAATAAAATGTAACAGAACATTTTCCGGTAATGTAATTGTATATTATACCGATAAATAAATAAATCACTATACTCAAATCATAACGATAATAAAGTAAATACAACATTAAGTGTCATTATTATTGAATGAGACTTATGTTTATTATACAGTTTAAATTAGTTATCACTTATGAGCACGAATGTAATGTTTTATGCTGTTAGGCCATTTTACTTCTATTTAGTATCCAATTCTTGAAACTTGAATACGAACCTTTAGGATGTATCCCCAGTACCTACTGGTATATGATAAAATTCTTTATGAAGGATATAGAAAATTAAGTTATTTCTCTTTTTAATATTCATATTAAATCAGTGTGAATCAATTTATTTGCTTAAATGTTTACACGCGTATCATGATACAAATTGCAAAATTGATAATTTCGACGCTAACATTTTTTATAGCTGACAGACTTTCCGCTTCCAGATGAGGCATAACTACTTGAGTAGTAATTGGATTACAAATATACCTAGTATAGGTAGAAAAGATAAGAATTAACCGACAAAAAGAAATTTGTAAGACAAGTTACTGTAAGAAAAATTTAGTTTCATCAATCGAATATTTTTACTGGACACTATATTCATTAATTCTTCTTTTTCACTATGCTTTTACACAGATATATTGTTTTAAATAATCTATTTATTGTTACTGGCGGTGGAAGTTTCACTTATTTTATTAAATTAAATGTTTTGGCAGACATAAAATTTTATATCCAATTTTGTATAATGTAATAATCCCCCTTGAATATCGTAAGTAATAATTAAGTCGATGCAGTTGTGGTAATGAAAATGATGTCGTTAGATGAACGCGTTTTTTTATAAGTTTATTTTTTTTTTCTCGTGAATTATTTTGCTATGGAAAAAATAAAATAAAAAATTGCCTGTGTAAAAACAACTAACTGAAAAGGATGAGACAAGATAAAAAAATTATGCAACATCATACATGACATGCAATCGGAGGCATGCACAAAGAGAGAATGAGTCTTATTCAAACATCATACATACTGCATGCTATGTATGATGTTGCATAAATTTTGTATTTGAAACAAAAAAAAAACATTAAATATAACGGTCTCGCACAGCCACCATATTAGTATTTTTTTTACGTTTCCCCTATCTAAGAACAGTTTGGCTCCTAATACAAATCAAACGATACCTCAATTATCTAAATCCGTTCAGCGGTTCTGAAGATATGAGGTAATAAATAATATTTACATAAACACAAGATATGCATTAAAAACAAAACCCTTCTTTTGTAGGTGGCTAAAAAAGTAATTATTCTATTATAAATTAAGAACAACTTTTTTACAGAGTTCGGAATTATATATATAAGTTTACCGCCTCAATTAGAAGTGAACCATCCATTTTACTATGAACTTAGAGTACGCAGACAAGTTCTATTCAACGGAGTATTTGTTACTAATATAGTAAAAACATTTTTGTAATAGTAAGTACATAGCAATTCTGAGATTGTCTACTTGGTTATCATAAACTGATGCTGCATGACCTAAACCTCCTTTTTCATAATTGTCGTATGATAAAATCTACTTACCTTTCAACATAACACTTAAAAAATATTCACGAACTTCTCGCTAAACTAATTGACATGTAATATTGAATGAACTATATTATTAATTTGATATTAATAAGGAATTGTCTAACAATATAATGTCAAAAGAAAGAGTTCATTTATACCTGCAATCTTTCGAAGTGTTTAACTAAGCTTTTATTATCTTTCTTCAAATCATTTCCATAAATCTCTATTACAATCGATATCATTCTGAAAGTGATTGCAATAGATTTTGATGATATCATATAACATGCTAAAGAGAAACTGCACGATTTTTTTTTCGTCCATACATGTTGTCGATTTACCATTTTATACTTTCATAGTCACTAATGTTAGCTTTATTCTTAACGGGTTTTTACTATTGTCGGGGGCTGGATGTGGAATAGTTTTTGCTGGTTCCCAGGCCGTTCCCCCAAAAGAAAAGGTGCATCGAAGGGGATTTAGAGGGTATGCCATCCGCGTTTTGACTAGCATTCGTGAGGGCGGTTGTAGACGGTGACTCTCTCTCCCCCCTCCCCCCACTGCCTTTAAAGCGGCAGGGAGAGTACGTAAAGCATTCCTCCTACGACACAAGAAAAAGAGACTTTTACCATGTTCAGCCGTTCACCTAAACAGCCGAAAGAAAATACTCTTACATTCATTTTTTTAGTTTCGATTAAGATGCAAAATGTGTTTCTCTTGTGATATAATATTAATTTATTCCAATATTTGATCAATGTTACGTCCACGGAGTTACATATATTATTTTTTTTAATAAACAAATGAAATAGTTATTATATTTAGAATTCCATTAAAATTCATACTTATGTTCTTTTAAAAAGTACCGGGTCATCGTACAAAATCTCTTATTTAGTTATTTTTACTACAACATTTGTTATGATTATATTTCTTGTAGAAACCAATCGGTAAAACAAAAATAAGACAGTAATATTGATGAATAAAAGAAATGTACATCTTTGTTATTCGATTTCAGGATGCAGCGTGATAGTTTAAAAAAATGTCTCATTTTATTTACAGCATTTCTTTTCAACGTAAAAAGCTTAGTACTTTCGACTTCAACATTCATAGCTGACAGACCATTCTACTTCGAGCTTAGGCATAAATCCTTGAATTTATTCAATGGAGTCGTCGCCGGGCTACATTCATAGTATAGGAAAAAATACGTAACAATATTTTGTACGCCACTTGTAAGTTTCCTTTACTGGTGCATTTCATCAAATCAATGTTTTTTGTGGGTTATTTCTATAACAAATAATATATCTTGTATGACAAAGGCTGTGGAGGTTTTGTAGTCAAACATGTGTTTAATTTCTTTAGTGATTTATTTATTTATTGCATTAAATGTGACTTAGAAACCAACAATTTGTAAGGTTAATTCATACATTTTAGTACATAATATTCACATGCACCTTGATAGGTATGGTAATATAGAAAGATGGAATAAATCGGTATAATGACATTTTATCTAAAACTTGTCATTTAATTATTTTATTGAATTATAAAAGTTATTTATACTGCAATTATAAAATTAATTTATAGAATTCTAAAATTTGTTATATGAATATTTCTTAACACTTTTATAAATTTAGAATATTTTTTAGTTGTTTCGATATTATTTTTTATAATCTATACTATTATTATTACTGGCGGTGGAGGTTTCACATATTTCATTAAATTAAATGTTTTGGCAGACATATAATTTTAAATCCAATTTTGTATAATGTAATAATCCCCCTTGAATATTGTAAGGAATAAATAAGTCGATGCAGTAGTTGTGATGATGTCGTTAGACGAACTCGTTTTTTTTATTAGGTCATATTTTTTTCTTGTCAATTATTTTGGTATGGAAAAATAAAATAAAATAATTGCCTGTGTGACAAACAACTAACTGAAAAGGCTGGGACTAGATAAAAAATTTATGCAACATCATACATGTCATCAAACTGCATGTTATGTATGTTGCATAAATTTTGTATTTGAAACAAAAAAAAATCATTAAATATAACGGTATCGCATAACCATATTAGATTTTTTTAACGTTTCCCCTCTTTAAGAACACTTTGGATCCTAAGACAAATCTAACGATACATCAATTATCTAAATCCGTTCGGCGGTTCTGAAGATAAGTAATAATAAATTATATTACATACACACAAGATATGCGCTAAAAACAAAACCCTTCTTTTACATTCGGCTTAAAAAGTAATTATTCTATTATAAATTAAGAACAACTTTTTTTCAGAGTTCGGAATTAAATTTATGAGTTTACCGCGTCAATTCAAAGTGAACCATCCATTTTACTATGAACTTAGAGTACACAGACAAGTTCTATTCAACGGAGTATTTCTTCAATAATTATAACTAATATAGTTAAAACATTTTAATAATAGTAAGTAAATAAAAATTCTGAGACTGTCTACTTGGTAACCATAAACTGATGCTGCATGACCAAAACATCCTTTTTCATAATTGTCTTATGACAAAATCTACTTACCTTTCAACATGACCTTTGAAAGATATTCACGAACTTCTCTCTAAACTAATTGACATGTGATGATTGCGATCGCGAAGTTTTATTAAGATA